TATGTTGATACTTTAAACTCAACACATTTGGTTTATATATTGATAATGAACATTCGTATTATAAATTCTCCGCATTATCTACAGATTCGTAGTCAGTCATTTGTGTTTGCTTTGCTGTGTATAATGTATCATTATATTTGTTTTCATTTTCATTTCAGAAGGCAGAAAAAAAATCATCACAGAGACCACATAACACAACCCATGCTGGATCTGTATTTATTTTGCCAGGTAAACAATAATGCCATCGTGTTTTTGAAATATTTATAACGTATAAACTTATTACATACTTGCAGAAATAATTCAATCATTCATCAAAAAAGCAATAATTCTATTGGATATTGTTTATAAAATTTAAATTCAAAATTCACTTTATTGCAATCTGACAATATATATGAATCTATACCAAATTGAAGTAGAACAATAATTGCAGTAAATATAGATACACAGATAAAAATCGCCAAAAGATTAAAAGTTTTTGCAAATACCATGGTTAATAATACATTTAGATCTTTCTGTTTTGAGTTTAGGGAGTGGTAACCGATTTATTAATTATAATTAATTCACCGTTCTATTGGCAAAAGATCATGCAGTCTGTGGGGCTGGATGTTTAATTTTTTCAAGGTATTGTTGGCATAATCGGGTGCGGCGTTCAGTGACGTAAGGGAGATCAGAGATCGCTAGGCCATAGGGCCCGATTGTAGGCCTAACTAACCCAGGGGAGGATAATTCGTAGCGCTCTACGTTGTATTTGTTCCATGGCTTTCTTTGGATTGTACACTGGATATACAAGTACCCCAAACAGGAATGGCGTACTCCATGACATAGCCTGGGTTCCAGGCCCGGGATTTATCAATGTCAGCTTAGCAAAAATGTCTTTATGTCAAAAAAGTTAAGATGTCCCTAATAAATATCTTAAGCTAATTTTTAAAACCATCTTAGCAAAATCTTGGCTTAAAAATTGCCTTACATGGCGCTTCCGTACAATTGACTTCCTAATTTTAAGCAATTTTTAAGCTAAGCAACATTGATATATTTGACTTAAGCAAAAAAATGGACTTAACACGAATTTAATCTGATTTTTAGTTTGATAAATCTGGCCCCTGGCCCTAATTTTGGGTTACTCACTCTTTATTGCACTTAATGCGCACCGTGCCTAATTTAATTGGCGTCCCATACTCGATTTCTTTTTTTCGGATTAGGCTTTCTTATTCCGTCTCTAAATCGCTAAATTAACTTTCTCGTTGGTGGCGCTGTCCAGAATGAGAAAAATAATAAAAAATAAGAGACTTGTGGCAAGTCTATCCAGACAGTGCGGATAATACTAACGTGCACAGCTCTGGAAGAAATACATCGTAGCACCATTCTTTTGAATGTCTTATTACTGGCATATTTTGAGCTCCTATTTATGTCTATTGAAATATAATTTTAAAAAAAAGCAATTTTACAATAACACAAGTTTACAAAATATTGGACGAGGATTTCTAACGCTACAAAAGCAGCACGTGAGAATTCAATATTCAAATTACGTTCATACTAACAGCGAAAGGAGCTGTTTTATGTAGTAGGTAAGTGGAACGTACCATTTCAGTGAGTGCAGTGATACTAACGCGTGTATGTTCACTAAATATAATGGAATAAAATATATTATAAAGTGACCATGTTAATCCCTATATTCAGTCAATATGTGACTACATCCATCACAACATTTTAGCATGTATTGTATAATCTATTTTTACCATATTCTTTACCAGTAGGCATAGTATTTTACCTGCTTTAAAATTATAAACAAAATTATTATTGGCTCATGTTCTTAATTTAAAAAGTAATTTGACTTTCTAAAATTCAAGTTAAAGACGAAGCAGTACTCAATATTATGCTTTAGAATAATTCTGTAATGGCAGTACTTGCAGCATTTGGCCGACTGGCTTCACAGAATGATTATTTTTTAGGCGGTTCCATAGGGGGCGATGGTTGTCCGCGTCCGGTCCTCCCACCCTTAACATGTTAGAGCATGGGAGGATTTGGGCGGTGGGGGAAAGGGGGTTGAAGGAAAATAAAATAAAAAAAAAAACAGAAAAAGAAAAATGGATCTCCCAAAAAGCCTCAGAGTTTATTTTTGGACGTCTAGAAAACAAAAATTTCGCGGAGGCATTCCCCTGGCCCCTAGGGTGGTGTTATCGCGATCGGTCCCAGTTTTAGCCCAAGTTTCGGCCCCATTTCGGACATCTCTGGATCCATGAGAGTGCTTTTTAGCTGGCAAAAAAGTGTAAATTTTAGCAGCTTTTTTCTTCTTTACAGGTTGGGGGTGGGGGTGGTTATTCTTGGGAATAATATTCAGGCTAATATTGTTGTTGGCCTTTAAATCGCTCAAAAAATGGGAGAGTGACAAAACAAAAGACGGTTCCCCAAGCCCCAATTTTAAAACTTATTTCATTATTCTTTCAATAAAACTTTAAACAGTATTATCATCCTGCAAATAACTGGACCCGCCCCAGTACCTTACATCAGCCTCGCGAGTGGAGGCCTATATGCCTATATAAACGTAGCAATGTACAAACTAATAATTTATTGTGAATTATATTTTAATTGATTACAATCCAATTTACGGGTTTATGTATTAGAATGATATGAATGGTATTTTATAGCTCATTTATTTACGAGGATTCTTTTCGCGAGTGTATATAAACGTAGCAATGTACAAACTAATAATTTATTATGAATTATATTTTAATTGATTGCAATCCAATTTACGGGTTTATGTAAAGAATAATAGGAATGTTATTTAATAGCTCATTTATTTATGAGGATTCTTTTCTTGTTTTTGATACTTGAAAACAAACCTACCTTACTTAAAGATAGATATTGAACAATTGAAATATTTCTCTATATTCTTATATGTTTAATGTTTAAATAACATAGAGAGTACTATACTAGGTAATGTGAAACGCTTAGCGGCCTTCTTGGCATGAAGCGCTATATAAGTGTAACATATTATTAGTTATTGTTATTAAAGGTATCTTTAGCCGAAAAAAGAGTAAAGCTGTAGGTTTGTGTATAAGATTAATATCTAATTTCAGGGTACTAAGCTCAGATTGCACATGAACTTCTGAATCTGACTTGGTTTAAGTTGAACATTATTGTGTGTACGGTAGTTTTGTGAAAAATATTGTTTCTTAAAATGGTGACTAATTTTACTATTAGCATATCCTTACCCATTGTGAATACATTTCAAAAATGTATAGTTATTATTATTTAATAGATAAACCGAATGAGGGCGACAAACAAGTGGCCACTAAGAGAACGCACAGTGCGTCTAGCTCCGTGGATGATCGCGAACTGTCAGAAGTGACAAGTATCGAAGGAAATGGTATGTAGAGTTAAAGCAGAATGTATGACATGGTGCACTTTAGGACTTTAATTGTAAATGACAATTGTGGTGGTGGTGTGTAGAGTTCACAAATGTAAACATTTACCACAAATGTAAAAATAACCGCAAATGTCATAACATGTCAACCACAAATGTAAAAAGACCCACAAATGTAAAAAAAAAAAAAAAAAAAATGCCCACAAATGTAAAAAACTGTTTAACCACAAATGTAGTAACATTTCATCTACAAATTTCCAACGAAATTTTATTTCGACCTCGAAATATTATTTCGTTCCCTCGAAATAATATTTCGTTGCCTCGAAATACTATTTTGTTCCCTCGAAATAAAATTTCGTATATGGTACGCCCACAGTGCCTTCGGCGTCAGCTGTGCGTCATTGATGGCGCAAGGATTTGCTCAACGGGGGACCAGGTCCCCTGCTGGGGGTTGATGATATATATATATATATATAATTATATATATATGGTCATAGTCTCACTAAGTCACAATACTTCAGACGTACATTAACAATAACTTGCTTACGACTTTTTCACAGAATTGAGATAAAATGCATGCACTTAAGAGAATGGTGGTACTAATCAGCAATAAATAATGATAATATTGGTTTAATATATTGTTAACCAATGTAGCCACGGTTTTATGTCACCAAAACGAGGATAATAAAGAAAACGTTCATTGCAACGATGATCACAAGATAAAAATACTACAAATTGTAATAAGATGCTCAAATTTTATGAATATTGGCAATTATTTGATTGATATAGTTTAATTATATAGTGGTTAAGTTCATAAGATCAACATGTACTGTATTGCCATTAAACATTACAGAATATTACATTTATAGATGAATCGTTTGAGGGCGACACACAGGTGGTCAATCGTAAGCGAAAGCACGGTGCGTCTAGTTTCGATGATGATTGCGCAACGTCTGCGGACTCTATTTTAAGCATGACAATTGTCGAAGGACAGGGTAAGTAAGATGATGAAGAAGCATAATAATGATAAAGATTATAGTGATAATGATAGTAAAGATGATTATGGTGATAATAATAGACATAATGGTGGTGGTGATGGTGATGATGATGATGATGATGATGATGTTGATGAGGATGATGATGATGATAATGATCATGATCATGATCATGATGCAGCGCAAAAATTAAAACCTATGCAGTACACTATTTATACCGTAGTAAATGAAAAACCAAATTTGAAAAAAATAGAAAGTAATATAACCTAAACGCAAATGACATGCAGAAACACAGACAAAAATATAGTAATAAAAACTGATAGACAACAAATATAAATACTGGAAAAATGCAGGAAAATGGCCAGCCAGGTAGTGAACTATTGAAAGGACTGATTGTATATGCCTACAAACAATCAATGAAGAAACAGATGTAAAAGGGATCATAACTACAATATCCATAATATGCATCAGGACTTCGTCTTGAATCCAGACACCTACCTGTGATTCATGTGCAATTATTATGGGCATACTGTTTATGATAATCTTAAAGAGATTTCTGAACAAAAGATGATCGATTTTTTTTTAAAGGATTTTAGCTTGGATCCATCAGACCAATCAACAAACAAACTCTCTGATATCATTTTGGATTTCTGGTTAACTATTGCTATTACATAAGGCTCAAGTTATCAATGTAGACATGTTAAAGTCATCTGGCATCCTAATCACCGCAATTAAAATAAGAGGGCCAAGCGTATGGAGTCTTGGTAGCAAAAGGACGGGTGGCAAAAGGTCTAGATAGCGAAAGTTTATATTCTGACTTCTTTTTTTATGATTCCTTAGCAATCGTGATTAACTTTTGTAGACGATCTTTGTATATTTACCAGTTCGTTAATTTTTCCGATTAAACAAAAGCTTGTTTTGATTATTTAGCCAAAATTCTCCATTTTCTGTTCACAGGTAACCGAAAGAAGAAACGGAAAATGAGATGATAGAGCTTGCAATAGTATATGAATAATTAATTCGAGATCAAGAGAAACCAAATAAGAACAACCTGACATGGTTGAGAAAGGGCGTTGAAGTGTGCAAAGTAGTTTTATGCCTATAGAGGTTCAGCTTTTCCCTGTGCAGCCAAATTATTTCATTCTCATTTCATAAAAATGATTCTCATAAAATACGATTCACAAAATGGGCGGAAAGACAGGAAATCTGCAGAAAAAACTAAATAAACTATCAAATGGATTACCTAAAAATGGCGGAGACAATAAGCAATATATATATATATCAAAATCAGCCCTTAAAATAATCTTTCAAAACTTTATAAAAATATATAAAAATTTTTAGCGCACATTAGTCGGCAAATCATCCCAAAGTAGGGGAAAATAATTACAGATAAAATATTTGAAACAATCAGTCTGGCATAGTTATGAATGAATTTGAAATCACTAAAATTATAACGTCTAAGATTAATTTTAATAAGGTTTAAAATTGGAAACTTATATTTAATATAAATGCACTTTGTGGCAAATAAGATAGAAAGAAACTTTAAACGATCCTCAACGGTACGTAAAAAAGAATACCAAGTCTTTGCGTATATTATGACAAATTCAAAGAGGGAGTAATCTTTCGTTGAATTTTCTCAAGTGAGAAGATATGACCCTTTTGATGAGGAAGTCATGTCGGGATATTCAATAGAAGGTCGGACAACAGTTTTAAATAGTTTTATATATAATGAAATAAAGTTTTAAAAATTTCTACACTACAAAATTGTTCTCACTCACCAGAGCGCTTTCACCTAACCAACTGGCGCCTTCAGTGGTTTCAGTTACGGTGTTCACTGCAGGGGTGGAGCCAGGATTTGCCCGGCTGGGGGGGGGGGTGTCCCGATGAGGGGTCAGATCTCCCCGACGAAAGCAAAGAGGGCGTGGTCAAGCTTCGACTAAAAGGTTCCGATAGTGGTCCTGGGGACGAAGCCCCCGAAAATTTTGACAATTTAGGGGTTTGAAAGGCTTATTTAATCGATTTTAGAGTCTACTAATATGTAAAAAATACGTATGATCTTTTAGGTAATTTAATGTGTTTAGAATACTCAAACAGAACAGACAATCAAGTTCAAAATGTTGTTAATTTTTTTTTTAGTAATTCTTTTATTCCCACTGATACACGTCAAACCAACCGGAATAACTACTGCTACACCTTTTAGTTACATTCACACAAATCAAACTACACACTATAATGGCTAACGATATCGATAATCTTCCTGTCGCTTATTTATCCCTACATACAAAGACTAGGCAAGTATAAGTGAAAGTGTTCCGTTCCGTCTGAGAGAATCTGCTTTCCGTGTCTTAGAGCGACCTTCTGCCATATGCGATTTTATGTGTTTTTTTAATTTTTTTTTTATCGTGTCTGTCTCTCTGCACTATTGCATATAAGCCAACTTTCCGTATTATACACCTCAGTTCTTTTTGCAGATCGAAATAGGCCTTCACTGTATTTCCTTATTTGTTCAGGATTTTCTAGGCACGTGGCTGGTTTTCAAATATCAGCCAATCACGTATTCAGTACGGTAAGTCAATTGGAGTCAGAGCATACCCTACAACGCTTAAATTTGCTATTGTGACAACCGTGTGGCATGGTAACGTCAGAATAGCCAATTTAACACTGGAATGGAAGCGGTGCTTCTAAGAGTATGTGCGCATTCTCTTCTTACTTACTTTTGTTGTTGGGCTTGAAGCTATTGCTTATATGCCCCTCTAGATAATCCCTCCCATGTTCTCCTGCATTGGTTGAACTTCAGTGGGTGATTTGACCAGTGTTTCTCAATCTCTGCTTTAAACTTGTTTACAGATGATGCCATAACTGCCTTCTCTTCTCTGGTAAATCGTTCCAGTCATTAATTGCCCTAATTGAGAAGGAAAACTGTCTCATTCTTGGAACAAATTGGAACCGCCACTGCCGATCGGGTATTCTATAGGCCAATCTCAATGAATAAAGTTTGAATAACTTTGCATACATGTGACCAGTATAGAGGAAACTTCGAATTATTATTATTATTTGAACATCCTAGATATGCCAATACCTTGCATACCCTGCAATTTACCCTACGGTCCGCCACTGGATTTGACCGACCAATCAGCATCACTGATAGCGTGTAGCGATTGTATAGAAGTCTCAACAATTAAACAAGCTAGGAATATAGGTGTTGTGTTTCATCATTTATGAGTTTACTCGTCCTATCTCTACAACTTGCCGCTCAATCCATTTTCATCTTCGAAAAATTCGTCATATCCGTAAATATCTTTCTTTTGATACATCTAAAATGCTTGCAGATTCCTTGTGTTTTTTTTACGGTGTTCGTTATGTTAGCATGCGTTTCCAAAGTGGTTCTTTTTCTCACACGTGTACCATTGTTGGCCAAATGCCGGGCTTGAAGTTTTACCATCTACGTATGGAAATTTGCCACAATTTTTTTTTATTTTAAACCATTGACTTTTTTTTCTATTTTTCATGATATGGCTTCGTTTTAGGCTTTAGGCTTATGCACTTTTTCAGCTTTGTTTATTACTTTTTTTACGCCTGGTGCCGACTGGCTCTTAATCTCGTAGCATGTATTATCTTATGTTGGATCGATATGGCGCAATATAAAACTACACTCTTATTATTTTTTTTAGGGTACTGTTTTGCCTCTATGTATTTGAATATCTCGTGTTGTGTATACTTCTTTAGGCTCAAAACAGGTTCTTCATTTTAGTTTAGCATCCTTTATTGCAATCAGCGTCATCCTTTAGAGAGTATCATATATGATGAACACTCTCTCCGGCATAGTGTAACAGTAGTGCTAGCTTTTTTGGTCAGCCGTTATATGCATTGCTAAGAGGTAGTTTTCAAAACGTGCTAGCCATTTGGTCCACTTAGGCCTATTGATCCTTTGTCAGTGTCTGGGTTTAGTGGTAGAAAGCATAACGGATTTATCGCCATCCTAACAATATGATACAGTACACACTTAGTTTAAATTTATCTTTCATATTTCTATGTTGATCTGTTTTTACTATGTACTACTGGGGCTGGTGGATGTCTCTATTTTTGTGAATTTTCCTTTGTCGTCATTATAATGAAGTACGCTTGACTACATCGTGTCGTGATATCTTTATTCTATTGGCACTATATCTTAATCAGCTATCAAGTAATATTACAGATTATTGTTTGGGTCCTCTTTTTTTTGTGTCATGTATGTTGATATTGTTATGTTGATTGATTACCATTCACGTTTATGCCTCCTCCCGCACAGGCCTGCTTTTTTTAGGATGCCCTCTTTTTCTATTATTTTTTTTTTATAGTTCTTTTATTGATTTTGAAACGTACGCTTTTGGAATCTATGTTTCTTCTTTAAACATGAATTTTAATCCTTTAAGTCGCTAGTAAATACTATATTCATCTTTAGTTATTGATAAAAAATTAATCTAGAAGTTATTTCTTAATATTCCGATTGACCTTAATTAGTATGCCTATTGTTAGTTAAATTTTATGTCATTTTATATTTTATTGACGTATTTCTTTTTTATTTAGAAATTATACATTTGTATTTTTTTTTCTCTCTTTTTCATGTCAAAGTAATATTTCGTATAATTTTAATTCAATCATTTAAAGCCACCCTTCCTAAACTATGGATCGCGACAAAATAATTGGGGGCGCCAAACGTTTGCGTTAGGTCGCGAGCAGGTTTGCAAAAAAACAATTAAATTCATGTGCTTATTTACAGACAGTTGACGTTACGACCTAAAAACAGTATTTTTTGTGAACCCATAGAACAATATATTATTATATGTCCACAATGAATATCCTGAAATTTGAATGATGGCTATTATTATTTTTTTGCCACATACCACAACATAATTGTACAAATCTAAACTCTTCACTATTTAAAAATATTTATAGAAGTATAAGTTTAAAACAGAAATACTGTCAGGTGGCCTAAGGATAGCATTATCCAATAAATTTTAAATGTGTAACTATTGCAAATACATTACCTCCCTCTATTTTAGTTGATACAATTATAGTTAACACAGGGTTAAAATTAAAGTTTAAGATAATTAAATATATTTAAAGATTGATAAGTAGTCGTTTTTTAAACATAGACCATCAGATTTTGAGGATTTTGTAAAGGTCAATGTGCAAGTTACTATCGCATTATTAGATTGAAGCGAGGTTTTAAAGAACCAATACTTTTTGTTCTGGAATGTAACCTTTGTATTTATTTCTATTTACGTTTTATTTTATTTTACATATGTTTCGTGTTTCGAAACACGTGGACACGCATTCTTCACACACACACATATATATATATATATATATATATATATATGTACCGTATATGATATGATATGATATTGTTTACCTATTTTAAAAATGATTACCGTAGCATCTATTTTTTTATGTTAATGTTAACCACAATATTTCATTTTAAATCTTTGAATTGAAATAATGATTTTTTTTTTATTTAATCTTTGAAGTTAACTTGTGTATGTTTTTAGTGCATGTACTTGTATTATTTATAAAGACAAAGTTTAATTTATTGAGGAGTAGATCCATTTTCTGTATGAAAAGAGAAAATAAATATCATTTTGAATTCATTTTTAATTTATAACATTGAGGTTTAGAAATTAATCTATTTGTTATGCGTCACAATTTGTAACTTGGCTTTACCAAAAATAATCACCAGAGTACCACAGATCAGTTGATATCCGGAGAGCTCATCGACAGTAAACTCGTTTACTTTTTACCAATATAAATAAGATATGATATGACATATAGCGCCACCGCTCGGGTGGACTAAAAAATTTTCTCGCATATCCTCCACAATCTATTTCGTCTGAAAGTTCCACTATATTGCGAACTGGTGTACCTTTTACTTCTAATCTTTGGTTGTAGATAAGATGGTGTCATGCAAACCATGCAATCCACAACATATAATTTGTAAAAATATTTACCCAACATTTTAAATAAAGCATAACAATTTCCATTATAAAAGGTATGTAACATTTTAAGCTAATATGTCATATACAAAACTCATTATATTATTATAAAAAATATTAGTAAAACAAATAAATTCCATTAAAAAAAACCTGATTTTAGTGTAGCATACTTTATTTTAAATTTAGCATAATTGAAATCATAGTTCTTAAACCAGATTTGACATAGGCAAAAAGCGGTCACCCTAGTTTGGCCTAATTAGTCTGGATACGCTCCACTAAACACAATTTCAAAAGCAATTGTTTAAATCGCTTGTTGCCATGGCAAATCCTGAATATCAGGACTAAACATAAGAGGTAAACATATGTGAATGTTTATGTAAAATAAACAAGTTAAATGTTAGATTATTCCACAAGGTTTAAGTAGATCCTAACACATGTTTTAAATGCGGTCAATCAGGACATAAAGTCTTAGAATGTCACCAAAAAGTTGAGTAAAATCAAATGCCACACTTTCAACCAATTAGGGCATATCACAAGAAATTGTTTTTGGGCAATACATTTAGGGGACAAAAAATAAAAGATAACGAATGTTCATGCCACTGATTTAGCTACTGATAACAAAAAGAGCTTATTGAAATAGATGATGCAAAGAATGAAGATATAGGAGAAGTAAAACCAGAAGGGAATGACGACATATCGGTTAAAGTTTTGTACACTGATACAGAAAGCTTGACCGTTAACAATGGTTGAATGTCTCTAAGATTTGTCATGAATTCTGGGATCCGTCAGGGATATCTTCTTTCATCATTATTGCTTATTCTTGTAGTAGAAATAATGGCATGTAACAATAAGAAGCAACCCACTTTGTGAAGGTAACAAACTTCATCAAAAAGTAAAGAAAAACAAAATAGTTAAAAGTGCACAGTTAACAGACGATATGGTAATCTTCGCTAACAATGAACAGAGTATTAATTTTTTTCCCATCAAAATGAGTGTTTTCGTAACGTTTCGGGTTTAAATAAGAAAAAACAAAGGCCTGTGGATTGGTCCTAATAAGAAAAGGTTCAACAATACTTGTGAAACCAATTTGTTAAAGAATTAGTCAAATTTCTTGGTATTTCTGTAGGCTACGATAAAGTTACTTGTATAAAAAATTGATATGATAAGGTTGTATGTTTAGAGGGCGCTTTAATTTTATGGGAAAAAAGAAACTTTTTGGGAAAAATCACTGTAATTAAGACGCTTGCTATTTCAAAGCTAATATATTCAGTGCTAGTATAATTGACCAAAATTATTCTCAAAGTAAATAAGACTATATAATTTCTTATGAAAAGGGAGGAAAGATATATAGTTGGAAAATGGTGAAAAAAAATACTAAGTTTTTAGTTGGATTAAATAAAAACAACGAAAAAAAAACCACATCACTTCTGTTAGTCGAACTTCTAACTAGAAGTTCATTTAGTCTGCAACTTCAACTTAAATTTGTATTCACAAACAACGTAGTCGAAGTTCTAACTACGACTAAATCAAGTCTTAGTTGTAGTTCAGCTGAAGACGGCTGGCAAGCAACAACTATCAAACTAACCAATAAAAAGCTAATTTAGATAGCAGACGAAATTTTAAAGATCTGGTAACGTGGATTAATATTAAACTGCCGGCTGTCTTTTAAAAACATATTTCCTCATAATTCATTATAGATCATTATTCGTCTAACTAATATTCTATAATAATAACTTTATTAGTCATTAACATCTAATGATAGAGAATTAGAACTGTCACTGAAAACTTGCTTTCTTTGGAGAACTATTACAGTTGAGGTTGAGCGAGGGCGGTGCCATCTTTATCGGGAACTGTTGTATGTGGCTAGCAAAACAGGTTAATTTCAAGTTTTGGAAGCTAAACTTAATATCCCTTTTCTTGAACATACTGGAGATACATCGGAACTATTATACAATCGTTTTTATTCATTTCACTTTACCGTAAGTTACAATTAAGCACGTTTTTATTGGGGTAAATATTTCAAGTCGGCGATTCAGCCTGACCCTAGGATGACTAAAAATGGCCTGAGGAGGTATAATTTTAATCGAGGTTCGCGTGATTTAGTCGTAGTGGTAGTCGAAGTTCCTTTTAAGAATACGAAATGACGTAATTCTGAAGTTTTCTCGACTCGAAGTTCATTTTAAGAATACCGGGGTTAATCTTGGAAAGAACTGTCCTTGGGCAATTTCACACCTGAGTTTAAAAGTCTAGTCATTTGTGACTCGCATAGGCGTAGATCCCGGGGGATGGGGATATATCCCCCCAATATTTTGACTATATACGGGATAAAATGGAGCTTTAAACACTTCAAAAGACTGTCACAGAAATAATTTGCACTGTCTTATGCGCTTACAAAAGGCACAAGGGCACACATTGACGCTAACACCAGGCGCGTAACAGGAGTCTTGGGTCAGAGTGGGTATTTATTTTCCCGGTGAGTAATTTACCATACCCACGCCACCCCGTTCCCCATATAGAAAACAATACGACATAGGGCTTATCTTATTTATAATATAGGCCACACACGTGTGTTTGAAACTAAATACGTATAAGCATTTTCATCATGGTTTTATTTATTACAACATATTCTTTCACCACCAATACACATTAAGACCCTTCTTTTAGGTTAAAACGATCTATCTTAAATTTGTCTTTCTTGAGTTTTGGGACTATTATGTGTTTAAATACCGGTAACTTAAAAGGATAAACCTAAAAAATCCTAAAATATGCTCGCGAAGCGCGCAAAATATTTTTGTGTTTTTAATTCTAATTTCGTCCGAATTGATGAAAACTCTCTAAAACTTGCAATTTATAGAGGAAATTGGCTTACCGTAACAAGAAACGCGCGCAAGGAATTTGAGAATTTTAGGCACTTTCAGAGGATGCATTTATCAAGGGGTGGGGAAAGATTTTCCAAAGATGGATATTTTCCCCTTGTCCCCCGGTGTTTTTAATTCTAATTCCGTTGGAATTGATCAAAACTCCTTAAAATGTGCAATTTTTAGAGGAAATTGGCCCTTGATAACAAGAAATGCGCGCGAAATTTAAGGTTTTTAGGCACTTTAAGGGGATGAAAAGGGCATTTACAAAGGGGTGGGGAAGATTTTTCAAAGATAGATATTTTCCCCTTGTCTCCCAGTGGTTACGCCATCGGGCAGCATAGATCAAAGGAGTTATGACAGTTTTTGAAGTGGAGAGGGGGTTGCAGGGTGTTGTGAGTCTGGTCATTATGATATCTTCCTTTTTATTCCTGTCTTTATTTTTCTCTTCTCTTCTTCTTTTCTTTTTAGTCCCTCTCCTCTCTTTCTTTTCTGTTATTACCCTGTCTCTTATACACATCTAGATGTGTATAAGAGACAGCATGTACATAGATCTAAGGCATCGTCTTAGACTTGCACCGTACATGGGCCCTAACCATACGGTTCCCATCTCATATCACTTCATGCTATTTCACTCTAATTCTATTTCAATCTGTAATACATCCTTCTATGATCATTCCATCATATTTTTGTGTTGGTGAAAAGGAAGCGTTATGCTTCCCCTGGGCTTATAGCCTCTCTACCTTATCATATGTTCTTTTCAACAGACTGTCTTACATATTTTTTCTGGGTTATTGTTTATTTCTTTATAAATATTAAATGATATGTAAAATAATAGCAAAAGTTACAAAATAAAAAAAAATTGTTTGCATTGCTCAGTGAGTTCAAATTTACAATGTCAAATAAGTATAAGCATTGTGATTTGCTATGCTATGTATAATAATAATTTATTATTAAAATTATAACATATAATGTGTTTTAATTATAATAATAATTTATTATTAAAATTATAACATATAATGTGTTTTAATTATTGTTGTATATATTAAACTGAAAGAAAATGAATAGCAGATATACCTAACTGATGTATGATGTTATCATATAAGTTATCAAAAATATTAAAAACAAAATAATAAAAAAAAAAAGATTGTAAGCTTATGTTTAGTATCTGTGTATCTGCTGGTGTGCATGAACAGAATTACAAAAAAATAAAAAAAATTGTATAAAGCATTAGAAAAGTAGGTTATCTTGTACACGCTGATGAGTACTAGGTAATATTGTAACCGTAGTGTTATTATTTGTAATTGTGTTAAATGAAAAAGAATAGGAATAAATGTGGTCGATTCCTACAATAGATAAAAACAAAAACAAAAACAAAAAAAAGTAGTTATGGTAATATTTAAGGAATTGATATTACGCTAGTTG